GCACTTGCTCCTGAGGCTTGGGCTTTAAAGCTTGACTAAACAAAAAGCAGCTACGACTGAACCCCATAGTTTTATAAAGAGGCTAAAGTTTAAATTACAGGTGGTATAATGTGCTCGATAAATGATACTTGCATAAGCTAAATTAAAATAATCATCTTATTGGCTATAGCAAAATAAGTAATTATAATGATATGCAAGTGGTTGACTGGTGGTTTATTGTCAGGGGTTTCTAGCGATACCACAAATTATTTAGCATTTCTATGTCATGGATCATCTTTTCTTCCTGGTATATTAATATGAAGCATCCTCAAATCACACATTCAACTATTTCATCAATTCTGTTCACTATTCCTGAAATCATGTGGCATGGTGTCTGCAAGGTAATATTGGATTATGCCTTATAAAGTCACATATTTCTAATGAGCAGTTTCTAAAACAGAGAAGGCTTAAACAACACATTTTAAAGTGACATTGTGCCATAAAACTCATGAAAACATCAATACTATAAGTTAAAGATTTCTTACAGTCTGTTAATGCAGTGGTAGAAGATCCAATGACAAATGAAATAAAAGTGAACAGATAAAGAAGACACCTAAGGCATGTTATGCTAATTCATATTTCTAGAAGTCCCCAGCCACAAAGTGTTTGCATTCATGAGATAACATGAAAAGAATTATTATATGTTCATAAATATTATAGCATACCAATAATATTCTTTCACGTGTAAAGATTCCTACTGTTAAAATATGAAAATAAAGTATTAAAACGAGAATAAAGCAAAATTTCAAGCAATATTATTGTCTATGTGACCAGTATGTTTACCTTACCTAAGGATTTGGAAAGATGAAATATAAAGTCACCCACAACAGTAGATACTCTATCAAACATAAACATCACAACTTTAAGATGAGAGAAAAATACTTCACACACAGCAACTCTCTGGTACCAATAAAATCAGGGCAGCAGAGAGTAGTAACCACATTACACCAACCAACAAGTTCTGAGAGCAAAATAATTTATTTTCTCTATGTGTTACCATTCTATCAATGTATTGATCTTGCGTTATAATGTTTATCAATAAATTTCTAAGACATTTTGAAACTGAGATCAAAGAAAAATGTATGGCTTATAACTCTGAAGAATCTGCGAGAAAATGATATCCACAAGGTATTCATTACTAAAATCACCATAATACTTTTCCCTCAACAGTATAAACAAAACGTCTACTTTAAAATTTATTTTCTCAGTATATATACGTATACACACACACACACACATATATATACACACACACACACATATATACATTTCTTACATATTTTCAGCCCTATGAGTTAAATAAACAGCTGTATTTTACCCATGTCAAAACAAAATTGGTGCAATGCAGTTTCTTCACTAAAAGAATTTTAACTTACAGTCTGCTTTTCCACTATTAAAAATAAATAAATGGATAAATGACTTCTAATTTATTTTTTTAAAAAAATCACCTAAATTGGATATCACTGAAGTTATAATTTGATGAACCTAGAAGCAACATGCTCTAATTTTAACCTAATGTAAAAAGAAATACTTTATATTAAAATGATTCTGTTTTATAAGCATATATAGTAAAACAATACAGAACACACAGGAATAGATTCCAACATTATAGTAAAAGAGTCCTATTTGATTGGCACATGGGATGTCTCCAGTGTCAAAAAACAGAAACAGATTAAGGGGTAGGTATTCTAATATTCAAGGCACACATGAAAATATTTATATTCTTTACTATTCCCAACCAATAATGGATGTATTCGATAAGTTTCCTTAATAACAAACTTGAACCCCGTATTAAATTTTAACAGATAAAATCAATCTATTAATGAAAATAAAACATCTTCAGATGACAGGCAAAAGAATTAAAAAGCAACACTAACCACCCTTCTGAGGATGGAGACAGTAATTCAACCTCTACAACAAGAAAACTGCTTTTTACCACAAGCAGCTCTATGTAACCTACTTATAAAAGAATACATAAATAAGTCAAATTAGATTTCTTTAATCAAGTTAGAAAAAAACTACATTCCTAAACACCAATGAAATGTCTGTATCCTGTAAGATTAAATCTTAGAAAATCAATATATAGAATGAATCTATAGAACACAAAGTAAAATCTACTTGTAGATCATTTTCTTCTGATTCCAATGATTGAAATGCACTTCTCAACTACGCATTATACAGTTCCCCTGGTCACTTCATACATGGCACACTGAAATACATACAATATTCAGCTGTGTAAACTTTAAATTCATACAATTTATTTTGTCGTCTTCAATTTGACTAAAGCTTATAAATCATTAATCAGAAATGGAGGGTTGCTTTATGATATGGTAAAGACACAATCTGACCAAAAAGACAAACACACCTATAGAAATTGTATTAGCTACGAATGTTTAGTATGTGTTCATCATTTGAGTTGAGGTGTATAAAATGCTCTATAGGTTATGTGAAATCTGCAGTAAACCTCCTAGAGAAAGTTTTGAAAATGACATCAGTAATTTTACTAAATGTTCAGCCATACACTTACATTTGACTTCAAATGTTAGGTAATCTTAGTAAATTCAGTAGTCTCTACAACTGAGATGCAATTTTACCCAAATATACTCTAATCAAACAGGAACCAGAAAAATGCTTCGCTGAAATAAACCCAGGAACATTCATTTTGGCAGAACACTGCAATCATAAATACATGTTAATGTGCCTATGGTTGTATCTATCTGAGAGACACAAATAGGGACAGCTAAATCATTGCAAAAACCTATAGGACATTCTTTGGAACTAACTCAACGGTCGGAATCACGGTTTATAATTTAGTTCATCTGGGAATGTGCACAGTGTCTGTCATGTAGAAGAATGGCAGAAAAAAAACCTCAAAGGCTTTTAGACTGACGACTGCTGAGACCCTAGATAATTTTACAGGTTCTAGTCAAGTGTGAACAGAGAGCACAGGGAAATAAGTCTATCTGAAGACTGTAGATGTGTTTGCCCAAAGAGCTAATTGTTGAATTAAAATCACATTTTCAAACAAACTATTCAGAATTTGTAAATCTTCTTAGAAACTATAGGGATTTGTCTTTTCCTTAAAACTGTAACATAGTATATATTGACTCCCACCTGTTAAGAGGCCAAGAAGAAGCCACCCTTTAACTGATGCTTTAACTCATACTTGATCAGGTTACGTCACTACACTTACAAGATTTTATTCAAAGCACTGCAGCTTCACATTTCCCCCCTCCCAAAACAATCTGGATACATATATCTATAAATAACATCTTCAAACCGTAAATAAAATAAGTAATTTCCAGGTAACAAGAAAAAAGATGTGAAAATAAGTGGACCAGAAACAAAAGATCTATTTCTTAGTGCACCCTTTCCAACACAGAGAAAATAAACTGCATTCAAATGAAAAGGCATTTAATTTGGTATTTGGAATATCCTGGCTAAACATCAATTTTCTGTAACACCCCTACATATCTGACAGTACCTCATGTATAATGCAGAGAAGCCTTTTCATTTCCATCTATTGACAGAGTGTTTAATTTGCCACTGCAGCTCTTCCTAGAACTATCATGTTATTAATTCTGCAATCAAGCTCTTTTGAGTGCTTTTATTTCAACTAAGTATTTTCACAATTCCACACTGATTTTTTATTATAATATACCTGTTCAATGCACCAGCATGAATATGCTAAACTTCCCAACTGCATCGGGAAACTTTCCGAGACAAGGAGAGGCACTGGCAAACTTTAGAGGGCCCCCGTATCTAACAGGTTACATGCTAGTTTAAAACATCATCTTTCCAAAAAGTACTGTGTTCCACTAGTACAGCATCAACCATTCCAAAACCTTCTCCAGTGAATGGTCAGTCTCCACCACAAATCACCAGTTGTGAAAAAGAAGTCCTCCAAGGATTGAGTCAGTGTCCATGCCAGTGTATGCTGTACTAAAGAGCTGCTGGGGATTTGGATCTATGAAACAAAACTGCTTTCTTTTCCATCAGGAAAAAAAAAAAATAATCAGTATAGCTCACCTCGGCACTGAATTAATATATTTTACAGTCATCTAATTAAAACAACCTCCCGAAATTACCGAGGGCTAGATCTAAGTCAAGCAAACAAGCTAATGGTATTTCATCTGGGCTTGCACCACTCCACTGTGACTCCATTACTTAAAATACATACATTGAGTAACAGAACGGGGGGGGGGGGGATGAACATGAAGAACTGTGTGACACAAAGGAAGGGAGCCCCAAAGTAAAACAAACCAAAGCAAAAAGACAAAAAGCAAAATCCCCACATCAAACTGGGGAACCTGCCGCAATCCAGCAGGTTACAGTACCACACTGTAAGGTATTTCAATCAAATACGGCGCTCAACACAAATCCTAAAACACTATTTTACTTCTTGCATGGCGGTGGAGGAAATTTCTTATCCCGATTACATTACTGGACTATTTTAAATATCTGGAGAGACAGCACTTGTCCTCTTCCCTTCATCCAAGGCCAACAAACAAAGCAGTGAAGCAGAAAGAGGAAGATAATGGATTCAGAAGTAAATGGTCCATTCTTTAAGAAGCCTCCCTACCCCCTCCTCTGAATTCACTACTAACTAACTGCCATTATAATGATGTCTGTAAACTTCTGAGGCACCACATCTCCTCATGCCAACTGTCCAGGTTTCTAGCTCTAATTTTAAGTTTTTGTGCTAACAATTAGCATTCCGAAACACCCAGAGAATTGTATTGCAATTACTCTAAATCACATACACAGTGTATCAATTAGTGGGGAAAAAAAAACACGAACAACAATGAAAATAAGCTGAAAATTTTTCCACAATGGATGCTAATGTAGTAACATTCAAATCTCCACCATTTAAATTTTTCTTTAAGACAACACACAGCACAAGTAGATATTCCATGTTTTTCCGGGGATTCATCAAACAATTTCTTCAGCATTTCACCTACCTGGATAAAAATCTTTGGACTTCGACAGCTTGATAGTGGCTCCAGTTTCTTTTTGCAATTGAACAATTGTCTGTCCTCCCTTCCCAATTATAGATCCAGCAGCATAACTAGGTATGAGAACCTTTAGAAAGTACTGGCCGTCTTCTGAAAAATGCAAAGAAATACATTGGATTAACATGATCATTTTAAACTTTGCATCCCAATCCACCCTCCAGAGAGACAACAGCAACTAAAGCAATGGGCAGATAGCTGCAGAAAACAACAGTTAAAATGCTTAAGGAACGAAAACCACCAATTACACTGAAAAACAAGTATTTACAAAAGCCTTTCCAGTTTTCAAGATTCACATGCTCTAACAATTTGCAACACTGTAGAAACTGATGAGTAAATTCCAGTTGTTACTCCAAACCTGAAAGTCTTCCAAATTTGTGGTTACTATGGCAAAATGAAAGAAACTGACCCTTTAACAAAACTTCAGAGATTTAAAAGATGACAAACCTTCACTTAGCATGCTGAAGATGAGAAAGAAATCCAACACTGTAAATAGTGATCCGCTAAATTTTTCTATCATAGCAAGCATAAAAGACTACAATTAATCATTGACTATATCCGACTTAAAGTATACAAAACAACCGTCTTCCTGCAAAATAGTCCACCCAAACTGTAGGGTTTATTCTAAGCCTTGAGAAACTGCGGGGGTGGGAGGGGGAGCCTCAGTGTGGTGGACTGAGAATCTAAGTAATCCTGATGTATTTCCGTAGCACTTCTAAGTCTACTATGATCTCGTCTAAGCTCATTAATTAAAAGACCTTACAAAGAATCTTGCCAATACTAAAAAGCTTAGGAGTTATTTAGCCTAAATACACTCCAAAGTGACCAAATAGATAGTGCTCCCTCTCCAAAAGAACCGTAAACCGGAGAGGGGGGTCGATGAGCCATGAAAAAGAAAAATGAAATGTTTCAGAAAATAAAAGCCAACTCCATAAACTTTAGTTCCCGTCAACCTGATCACGTCTTAAATAGGAAACTTCTCGGTAAATCCAGCTCTTTACTGTGAACGAGTATTCCGAATTTTGCGATGTGCCACTCACAAGACCCCCATCCATTTCTAACGTATAGGCTGGAGATAAATTCACCTCTGCTTCGATGCATTGGATGCATTGTTAAGATGACTCCAGTGCAAATGAAGAAGCGATAGCGGTCCCGTTATAACTCATCTTCCGAGGAAGCGCAGGATGTTAACTAACAAGTCACCGAACCAGACACCCCCCTCGTATGCATACCCTTGAAGACAAATCAATGCGATATTTGTACCGAGCATGTAAGTGCGCTCAGGGCATGCACTCAACAAGATTTTGCATACTACTTGTGGCCCAGAGCAAGGGGATGGACAGAGGCAAAAGTCTCCGGTGCCCCCAGCATCTGGAAGCCGCTACCCGAGTGCCATTTATTTATTTATTTGATCAGACTGTTAAATGCAGCGCGCATCTTCAGGCGGCCATCACCTCTCGCGGGGGGCGGCCTCGGGAGCGGACCCTGTCGCCGGGGCCAGCACCGGCTGGGGCGAGCGGGTCGGCTCGGAACCCCGGGTCGCCATCTTGATGAG